CCACCATAGCCACCATAGCCACCATACCCAGCGCCGTACCCATTTCTATAATAGGCAGCTCTGGCGTATGGATAGCGATAAAAGTAATAACCTGTGTCAAATTATATTTATTACATGAAAATGTTACGACAAAATAAATTAGTAAATAAAATAATCACCAAATTGTGCCTCGGCTATTGTCACCACTAATATACATATCAAAAAGCACAAAACATTTTTGGGGTTCATTTTAAGCATTTTTAAAACTTATATGTGCATTCATAGAAATTATAAAATTCTATTTTTATTATTAAGTATATATAAATGACATTATTGTGTCTGAATAAATAATATAATTAATGATTTTTTTGATAAAAATATAATACTTTTATTTTCAATGTTAGATTTTTGTTAATGAAAGCAAAATTAATTAGAAAAAACGTAATTTTGTACGATCATTTGCTTTATTGTATTGAACATCATAATTGTTTACCTAATAAAACATGATTAAATAATGACATCCTGGTCTACGCTAACCTTACGTTACGATCATTGCGAATATCAACTGTACTTGAGATTTTATTTTAGCATTGAAAATAACATTGAAAATTAACAGTTTAACATAATTAATTATATTTTATTTTTAATGTTTATTAATAAATTTCGCGGTAATAGTGGTGATAATTGTCATTTTATTAGATTACAAGAAGTAGTCTTTCCAAACGCCATCACAAGTACTCGCATATGGATTGACAAACAAAGGCCTAATTGTTGCGCGATTTCGTTAATAACAATGAGGGCGAAATTCAAAATAAAACATTATAAGCATGATAAAACTCTATATTAAATTATTAAAATATAACTGACCTAACTGGGCGATGATTTATAACATTATCATAGAGAATATCACATTCCCTAATTTATCTGATCAATAATATAATAACAAACTCAATAAATATTGTAATACTGAATATATTAATATTAATATAACATGATGACCCAGTATTCATGTAGAAATAGTCTTTCCAAACGTCATCACAAGTACTCGCATATGGATTAACAAACCAATTGGGTTTGGGGTTAGGGTTTAAGTTTTTAACTTCAATTGTATTATTGCTGAACAAATGTGGCCACTCTATGTCCGGTTGGCTATACATAAGACAAATTAATTTAAACACAGCAAATATAATGATATTATAATTTATATTTACCCATATTTAGCAAAATTAGTCCACATTTTCATTATAACCAGGCTAAACTTTTTATCTAGTTCACTGTAATCTGCCGAGGTAACTGGTTCCCCAAATACAAATTCAGCCTCGGCACAGTGACATATACCCATCCCTGGCAAATCACAATGAGCTGCTTTGGCAAACGTTTTACTCATATAAGTAACCTGGTAGAAATAGACTTGATGCTTATTCTGAACACTTGTAGCAAATTGTTTGGCAAAATGGTATGTGGGACATTTCAATATTAAATCTCCGAGTAAGTCAGAAAAGGCTTCCCTCAGAGCTAATGGACTGGTTTTGTCAACATTTTTCAAATAATATTCTTCGAGTTTATGAATATCCAGATTATGGTAAACATCATCAGCAGCTTTGATTGCTTTCTTAATGTCATCCAAAGTGGTGTTCCCAGTGGGCTGTAACCCAAAGATTGCCCCAAACATTGATCCCTCATTGGTGGCCACACCGGCTATTATGTCCACATCTAACAAAATTTATGACAATTTTAAATCCTATTTATTAATCTAGTTAATATTTGATACAAACCTGAATTGAATTTCATTTCTTGAAATGCTTTTTGTCCAGAAATGGGCAGAAAATCTGTTCCCAACACCGGATATGTTATCGTTTTTGTGTATTTATTGAACTCTTTTGCGTCAATACTTCGCAAACATTGCAACCAATCCTCAGATTCACTACAATTGAAATCCTTAGCCATTTGTTTTCCCAATTGTATTGATTCACTTTTGCTGATCACATCCCTGTCCTTATTGTACAGATGAGAACCACTTTCCATAATAGCCCTCTTAAACAGTCCTTTTGATAGTGGCGACAGTATGTGTGCTGATACGGACCAACTACCGGCGCTCTGACCAAATATAGTGATCTGATCCCTATCCCCACCAAAGGCATGAATGTTATCTCTGACCTATAGTTACAAATAAATAAATAAATTCTATCAGAAAAGGAAAATAAAAAAAATAATAATTTAATTTTATACCCATTTCAGTGCCAATAACTGGTCGTAAAAACCGACATTTCCGGGCGCGTCCTCCCGATCCCCATATAGAAAGCCTAATTGACCCAATCTATAGCTGGTTGAGGCAATCACCACATCATTGGTGGCCAACACGCTTCCACTTCCAGTAAATACTGAGCCAACACTAAGACCCCCTCCGTGTATGTAAAACATAACTGGTTTTAGTTTTGATGGGCCATTGGTTTCCACATTTTGTGTCCAAATGTTTACAAACAGACAGTTCTCACTATAAGTCAAGTTTGCAAACGGAGATAATGGCTGAATGCATGAGTCTTTTGGTTTGGTTGCTGAGATAATATCCTTTAAGAAAATGTAATAATTATTATTATTATAAATATTAGTAATATGTTATTATAATAACTTACTTTTATGGGTGTTTTAATAGGTTCTGGTTTAGCGAACCTAAGCTTCCCGATCGGGGGTTCGGCATAAGGTATGCCTAAAAACTCATTAATAGTTTGATTCAATACCTGTATTGTCTGACCCCTCACTACACCAGAAGTGGTTTTCACGTCAACATTAGTTTCAATACAATTTGTTACAACAAAAACTAAATTAAATACTATTAAATTCATAATAACTTTATTTTTTATAAACATTTTGTATTAATTAATATAACTACACCAGAAGTGGTTTTCACGTCAACATTAGTTTCAATACAATTTGTTACAACAAAAACTACATTAAATACTATTAAATTCATAATAACTTTATTTTTTATAAACATTTTGTATTAATTAATATGTTCAGTTATAAATAGCAATTGTATTACTACTAAAATGTTTAAGTAATGTGTATTATTGTGAAGTATTTATATGATTATATGAATAGATAATGCATTTAAGATCAATAATTACAGGGCACCTCCACTTTATGAGCTCCTTTATGAACCACTCAAAGTAAATGTTAATTATTGATTAAATACGCTATAATAATGTTATAACTTATTTTCAGTTATCAATAGATTATGGTAGCTTATAATTGACACTAACTTGTAAATACAATACTTTATTCAATACTGTTGATAGTGAATTCAATAGCTTTTTATGGGATTCTACAAAAGGTTTGTATTATCCATTACAAATGATTTACTATTTTTAAGTTAAATATTATAATTTTAAATTAGCTAACTTATATAATTTGTTGCTAATTTGATAATTCATGTTTAATAATATAGTTTATTATTCATAAATTGTTTCTATAACTAATAAATTATTTATAACTAGATTCGATTATTATGTTAAAATCTGATTGACTAGTCCAGCATAACTGGGAATTTCACCTTCTGAAATAGTAATCTGATTCCTTTCCCCTACCTATCCCACCTAACTGAACAATAATGTATCCTGATCATATATGGTCACAGTAATATCATACAAACGAATAGCCTAATACACTAAATACAATAGTTTATTCACACAGTATATTCAATAGCTTTTTATGAGATTCTACCAAAGGCTTGTATTATATTTTTTTAATACAAATCATTTATTATTTTTAACATTAATTATTAGATTTTATAGTAAATTAATATAATTTGTAGCTAATGTGATAATTCATGTTTAATGATACCATTTATTATTCCTTAATTATTTCTATAACTATTAAATTATTTATAACTAGATTAAATTGCTATGCGGAACTAATATTATGGAATAATACTGTATTATTTGATATATTACCTATTCAAAATATATACTTTATAAAAATATAAATACATGAGAAATAAATATTAGCAAATATTCATTTATTCTATTATACAATCATAATCAATTATTTAATTATAATTTTATTATTGTTAATAATTGTTAAAATAATCACTTCATTAGATTACAAGAAGTAGTCTTTCCAAACACCATCACAAGTACTCGCATATGGATTGACAAACACATTGGGTTTGGGGTTAGGGTTTAAGTTTTTTACTTCAATTGTATTATTGCTGAACAAATGTGGCCACTCTATGTCCGGTTGGCTATACATAAGACAAATTAATTTAAACACAGCAAATATAATGAAATTATAATTTATATTTACCCATATTTAGCAAAATTAGTCCACATTTTCATTAAAACCAGACTAAACTTTTGATCTAGTTCACTGTAATCTGCTGTATTAATAAATGGTTCCCCAAATACAAAATCACCCTCGGCACAATGACATATCCCCATCCCTGGCATATCACAATGAGTTGCTTTGGCAAACGTTTTACTCATATAAGTAACCTGGTAGAAATAGACTTGATGTTTATTTTGAACACTTGTAGCAAATTGTTTGGCAAAATGGTATGTGGGACATTTCAATATTAAATCTCCGCTTAAATCAGAAAAGGCTTCCCTCAGAGCTAATGGACTGGTTTTGTCAACATTTTTCAAATAAAATTCTTCGAGTTTATGAATATCCAGATTGTGGTAAATATCATCAGCCGTTTTGATTGCTCTCTTAATGTCATCCAAAGTGGTGTTCCCAGTGGGCTGTAAACCAAAG